CAAGACCCCCCCCACCAACCCCACCACCAACACCAACACCACCACCAGCAGCGGCAGCGGCGGCGTCACAGGGAGGAAGGTCACGGTCTCTCCTGGACCCTGGAAAATCCCTGGATCTGACAAACTGCCCAGCTCACTGCGCACAGGCACGTCCACGTCCACGCTGAGCAGATAACACCGCAGCTCCCGCTGAACACTGTGGCCGCGCTCATCACAAACACAGCACCGCCAACGGACCGAAATCCATTCTTCATCTTCCTCCTGCTCCCCGCTCCTCCTCCTCAGCACCTGTGTGGAACCACAGGAGGGGCCGGACGACTGAGACCACGTGTTTTTTACAGTTTTATTTATGAGACCGTGCTCTAAATTATTTTGTGAACTATATACACCCACCACCTTAAGAACTGCTGAATCATCCACTTTTTATGAAAATACGAGAAAAGAAGAACAAGTAGAATGTGTAAATGTAGTTCCGAGGAGGAATTATTTTGAGAATACAGAGTTTCCCTTGAACAAAACAAAAAAAAGTGTAAAGAACTTGTCGAAAGAACGCAGAGGGCCACTGTTAGTTGCCGTCTAATTTTCTACGTATATAAATCTACATAACGGAGTCTATTTTGTGAAAAAAAGAATGTAAAGACGAGGAGGGTTTGAAGTGATTTGAATAAAAGGAACAGAGAGCAGCAGCAGCAGAGAAGAAACCCGTCAGAACTTTGCCTTAACAGAGACTTGGTGGACCTGGATGTGTCTCTAACACTTGAGGAGTGTGAGTCTGTGAGATCCTGCCTGTAAATAAGAGAAAACAGAACCTTACAGCTGAGCCCACTCAAGTTCTAGCCTGCGATGTAACGAGCGAAGCGATGCAACCTGGACCAGAACTGTTGTTTCCTTCATCTTCGTCCTGTGATCACAAGCTGGAGGCCACAGCTGCGGGGGTCTCCGGGAGCTTCACAGCTACCTTTGTTGTTTCTCTCCTCATTTTTTGCGCGTTTTGCTAAAGAGAAAAAAATAAACAAAAAAAGCAATCCACAACGATGGCGTTCCAGTCAGACGCCGAGGAAAGGAGCTCCTGCGACAGAGACCTAAGGGCAGAGTGCCTTAGACTGACGGAGGTGGAAGCTTCAAATGTTAAACACTTGAGAGGATTTCAAACAGGCTGCTATACAAGATGAACACAAACTCTACAGATATAAATATAACAAAAAAAAATATTTTTACCTGTGTGTGTGATACGGTAATACACGTCATTATCTCACAAGTCCGTGGTCCCAGTTCATTTTAGGTCATGACGCGACTCCACTGATTCCTTACTGAGGCTCAGCAGCAGAGGTTTCTGGGATGAACCTCCTGTTCACAGTCGATGATGACAATAAAGAAGAGGATTGTGTCCGTTTGTCAAACGTCCTCACGTCCTGTCAATGACGGCCCATTATTTAACTAAATATGAACCAACTGGCAGTGACCTCAGCTGACTGGTTCCATGTTTCTATCATTTCAGACTCCTGGCCCACTCACATCAGGCCAATAATAATATAATCTGACCCTCTGATTAAATGACCCACAGCGCCCCCCAGAGTTTGAGGAGTTGGAAGAGTTCTTACTATACTGCAGTCGTTCCCAAATGTATCCTACAGCAGTAGCTCAGCTTCCCAAGAGGGGCCTGGCTAAGGGGGGCTACCCCCCAGTTTGAGAACCCCTGCCTTACTACATGAAGCCCAACAGTTTCTGGTTCGATTCCTGGTCTTTTTAACTCTTTTTAACCACAAAGGTGTGAATCTAAGTGTGAATGGTTGTTTGTCTGGATGTGTGGTCATGTGACCGACTGGTGACCAATCCAGTCTGTCACCCCGCCCTCACCCAGTGACTGTGAGGACTGAGCAGCAGAAGATGGTTTCTGGTATTTATTTTAATTTTCTTCTTCTGGTATTTGAAAACTATGTTGTGCCAGTTCCTCCCCTGTAGATGGTGCTATTACCACCTCAGTTGGTAGATCACATTTGTGTCACTCGCTTCAACCATAAAAACATATATGTCCATAACTGAGAACCAGCTGAGAATACAGTAGAATCTGAAATGAGTTCAAAAACTGATGCACTTACCAGGAAAATGTTCTATTTTGTTCTGTCCTTGAAAAAAGTTCTATTCAAAGATGTTGCAAACAAAGTCAACCTGATTGAAAACTGACAACTGAACAAATCCTACTGTGATTTCACTCATACAGTGGTCGATCCCCTGAACTGAAACAGATAAACAAACTCTCCCTTTCTCTCTTTCTTTGGTTTGAGTCAGTGACGCAGTGTTGGCTGTGATACCAGTCTTCAGTGGCCCACATCTGGTATCCAGAAAGTAGGCTAAGTCTGTACCAAACTCTGCCCACAACAGGACTTCATCTGTCCAAACAATGGGTCAGATAATTGTCTGGCCAAGCATGAAGCTAAGAGACAGCCACTCTCAGTTGTAGATTATGTCCCACATCCTGGATACCCGATGTGGCCCACTAGATGGCAGATCTGGGTCACTACAAGGCTGTAAATTATAGTTATATGTGGGACGTAGAGGCCTGTTACTGGACTGGATTTATTTTAATTTATCAGTGTTTCATCAAAATAGGCCAGTCTTTCAAATCATTAAACCGCATTCTATCGTTTCCTCTACAGAGGGCAGTGCTGAGAGTGAGCTCCACAGTGACAAAGCAGACTGACTTTGAAGCACAATCACACAGTATGAGTTTGAAGTATGACGCGTTGTTTCACACAGACAATGTTTAATTTTCTATGGGTCAGACTGAAGGTGGACTCAGCTGCCCGTCTGATGTATCACCAACGCCCTGGACTGGACTGCACCTTTAATTTTGTGACATGGGTTTGCTGCAGATAAAAACAAAAACATATATAAATAAATAAATATATATATATATATATATAATTGTTTCACACTTTTTGCCCTGCATTTGCACAACTGAGTCACTGCTTTCTGTTTCACCCCTGAGTTGCTGCCATTGAACCAAAATGTAAGTAGTTTTCTATGGAAAGCTAAAGAGGAAAAAACATATGACTAAATAAAAAGACATTTATAGGTGTGTTTGCAACGCGTGTGTGGAATAAAGCAACACACGCCGCACTGTAAACCCTGACACCTAGCCACTCAGAATCACTGTGTAGTGTTATAGCAGTGTGTAGACCCTGAACAGATATCTCTATACATATGACTCTGTGTACTATTGACGGTCACGAAGAGTGTAAGTGGAGCAATTATTTTTATGAAATGGAACACCATGGATATATTAACTTTTGCAAAAAAAAAAAACAATAATAATAATCCTACAGAAAAAAAAGTTGTTTACCTGTAAAATTATCTTGAAACACAACAAAAATAAAAGGAACATCTTGACAGACACACGCATTGGTTTGGGACCTTGATGTGTTTCTGGTGATTATTTAAAAATTATATATATATAATTCTATGGCTTAAACTCATGGAATGCTGCTGTTTCTTCTATACAAATATTTTGACAGTCATTGTCTAAATAGCAACATAGTCTGTTTTTGTTTGTTTGTTTGTTTGTTTTGTTTTGTTTTTTCTCTGTGTAACAAATCTTAATTGTGCTTTTTATAGCCTTCGAATATAGGGATGTTTGATTGAATGGCGAACGAGTGCTGCACTGTGTCCATTTGGCCACACGATGGCATCGTGTACGTACGTAAGAAAACACCTGTCGTTCTGAAATACTTCAGAGAAAAAGTCGAATATTGCAACGACGTTTACAGGAATATTACACAGTCAATAGGACTATTGCAGTACTGTTGAACATATTGACCAACACAAATAAATAAACAGAAAACAAACGTAAATACAGGAAACCCAGTGTGGACCGTTGTCAAAGTTTAAAATAAGAACTACTTTTTTCAGTTACAAAGATACGCGTTCGATAGACTTGTAGTCACTTTTTCTTTATCTCCACTAGAGGTCAGTGCAGACCTTTAATTTTCTACGTCACTCCATTGTGTAACGTTTAAGCTTCTATAAATTCAATATTTAGGTCACTTGTTACCCAGGATTGCGTTTATACAGAATATACGCCAACGCAGTGGTAAGGATTTGGCCAAATAATTATATTTATGTGTAAATAATAGCTATAGGTTTCATGATGTGATTAAAGAACGACTTTGTTGGTCCTGTAATGGAGTTAATGTCATGTCACAGCGGTGTAAAGTAAAACAAATATTGCACATATGTAAAGGTACTGTATGTACACTATGTGTTTTATTGCTCTTTCAGTTATGTTAATTACAGTTCGTGTGAACGCTCTGACATCGACCTGTGCAGTCACCAGGAAATCCACTGTCGTCTGCGTGAATATGTCTGTGTGCGTGCACTTACACTTCCTCTGGTTGATGCTAGGAGTGAGGGGGATTTTTAATGTGCTTTCTGTTTCAGTCAAAGGGTCAACGTTAGATTCACGTACTGATAAAAAAAAAAAACAAGTTCAGTTGGAGTTCAGTTCAGATAACCTCACAGCAGCAGTGGTTTATTATCACTGGGAGAAAATGTGTGAAAAAAAACTGAAAACACAGTGAGCTATAGCTGCTATAATTATGTCTGGCTAATTCTTCCTTGTGTTCGGCTAATGTTAGCATTCTGTTGACATACTCTGTTCTTTCAGCTTCCTGTTGTCCTGGCCAGTTTTTTACTTTCAGTACGAATGTTAATGAAATTCTAAATCAATTTGAGGTCATTTCGTCTTGCTAACATCTGACCCTAGGTTTTCCTAGATTCTGAGCGTCCTGCAGCTACATGTCATCACACAGTGAGACAGGCAGCAGCACAGGAGGAGGACAACAAGCTCTCCTGCAGTGACAGCAGTGGTCACGGCCGTCACTCTCCTCCACAGGGGCAAATCCGTTCAGAGCTGTACTCATGCCTCCACCTGTAGGCTGCAGGGCCGGGGAATCTTCCGGAGAGTGGCGGACCGACCTTTGAATGTGTGCTGAATGACATTAGAGGCGCGGGCTGAGCGTTTTCATTTGGCTCACATCTCACCAACACACACGCTCTCAGGGTGAGTCACAGCTCCGCGGCAGGAGTTGATGGGAGTGTTTTACCTCCTCCTCCGCTGACATCTCACTTCATGTTGTTCTCTGTCTCGGTGACATCTTCCTGTTGATGGAAGGAGGCGCCATTAAAAAAAACTGCAGTGCAGAAGAAGAAAAAAAAATTCAGGGTAGGCCACGTTTTTTCAGAGATTAGTGTGAGATTAGCTAAAATGGCTACAGGTTGAGCAGAAACTAGCCAAACATTACTTTAAAATAGCAGCCAAAATTTAGTTAAAATGAACTAATGTTAGCCACTAAAGCTAAGTGCTGTAAACTATAAAAAGGCTCGCACTGAAAATAACAAACTTTCACAAAAACTGAAACGACAGTGAAAACAGTAGCCTACTGTTGCTAATGCTAAAAACTACAAAATAAATATAGATATAATACAGTAGCTTACGTGAGTTAGCATTTAGTAAATAGTTAACATTTCAAAACGAAAAACTAAACTATAATGAGCCACTTTATAATATTTTGCATAATAAAAAAATATAAAGTATAAAAATACCGAGTTGTAGCCCAAAACGCTTAAATTAGCCAAAAGAGTAACTTGAAAATAGTGTAAGTATATTTTGAAAGTTTAAAGACAGCCTGTTCAAAAAACCTAGAACTGTCTATAAAATTGGCTGATACAGCAAAAAAGTTAATCTTACCATAAACAAAAGTTAGCCGATAATACTAAATATACTAAAAAATAAAAAATAAACTACCAACAGCTTGAACAGGAAGCAATATTTAACCAAAAATAGTAGCTTATAAAAGATAACGCTTATATAAACAGACAACAAGAAAATAAATATTGCGACCAACAACAGAAACCACAGTTGTGAATACACAGATAGTTTTAAAGCCAGGATTCTTTGAGCTGTAATTAACTAAGGACGTAGTCAAGACATCGTGTGCCTTTCTAACAAGTCCCAGCTCCGACTTGGAGAACAACACATGGAACACCTCAACGGAACATTCCTCAGCCTCGGCTCTCATCACACGTCCTCTCACAGTATCGTCGTCCTTCGAATATTTGCGGGGAGGAAGCATCCAATAGGCTCAGACTCACGTCACTCACTTGCATGATCACGCCAGCACATGCCGTGAATTCTCCACCGCCGTCCGCTCCACCGGTTAGACCGTGTGCTCGGCGTGAAGATCCGTTCAGTCCATTCAAGCAGGGAGAAAAGTCAAGTGTCCCACGCCCCAGTCACGAATCAGGGTTTTAAGATGAGGAATAATGGCAGCAAATGGATGTGGTCCAAGTCTTCTCCAGGATGGAGGTTGACAGATCGCCGCTCTGGTGGCACCTAATGTGTAGTGGTTTTATTATCTTTAATTATGAATGAGTGATTTTGCAACTCAGGAATGAAATGTTTGCCTCTGCCTGTTCCTCCACGGTGGGAATCAATGGTGTGAGCCTGTTCTGACAGGAGGCCTCAGCAGCTGAGAGAGCAGCTGAGAGAGAGAGACACAGAGACACAGAGAGAGAGAGAGAGAAAGAGAGAGAGAGAGAGAAAGAGAGAGAGAGAGAGAGAAAGAGAGAGAGAGAGAGAGAAAGAGAGAGAGAGAGAGAAAGAGAGAGAGAGAGAGAGAGAGAGATGGGCGCAGTTTAAGAGAGATGGATGGACGCTGTGTGTTCAGCAGCTAAGTGGCTGAGCTGCGTCGGATGGTTTTCGGACGTAGTTTGAGCGAATATGATCCATCACATCAGTTTGATCCTGTCGGCTTTTATTGATTGTTTATGTACACAGGTCACCAAAGGTCACCACAGGTTTGGCAGGATTAGAATTCCTGATGTGAAACCTCTCTGACCGGTCTGGAGTGTTTTTAGTGTTTGTGGGCTCCAACCCCTGCAGTGACATACAGTATGTTGAAGGTTTACATTCCACAAACACGTCTGTCATACTGAACGTTGAACCGGCCAAACCACTACTGCGTACTGAAGTATCTGACACACACCTTAGGGTCCGGACGCTGAAATAAAATGAAATAAAAATCATGCAGTCACAGATTCAGCCGCCACTCGGTGATCGCTGGTATACAGTGTTTGTCCATCTCTAATTGACTTTAATGAAGGTGCTGTTTGCAGCATGATGGTATGTCAATAGTAGAGAGTCAACTCAAGCTGTTGTCTGATGTAGTGAGCAGTGACTTAGAACAAATATAACCAGGTTTGCCCAGGACTAGTTAGAATTAGAGCTAATAAGCAAGAGAGTCAAGAGATAATTAAAGAGTTAGTAGCATTTAATTAATGAACACTAATGATCAAACTATCAGGAAAAATAGTTGGGTTTTTTACCTGGAGTTTAATAAAGAAAATAAAGCTCCAGAAACTCAATAGAAACTTTAAAACGTCACTCATTTTACAAAACAAAAAAGCTGATTACATCAATATATAGCTATATACAGTATATGTGTGTGTATTCTCGTTAATGGTATGATAATATCACGGGAGATTTTTCTAATTACGATATAATACATACAAAACGATTTTAAAAACGTAGCTCGACTTGAACGCCTCCTAACTTTTCGGGGGATTTACGCAGCCGAACGGTTTTTACCCGCTGCTCTGTTCCAGGGGAGGGCCCACGGGCGGAGGGATGACACGCCCTGCCCACTCGTAATTGTGTGTCAGTGAGGTTCAGCTGCTGTGTAGTGTAGTAGCCAGAGCCAGCACCGTCCACTTCGCGGTTGCTGGAACCACCGGGCTTTGCCTCATTACCGCGGTGGAATTAACCCAGCAGCCTGAGCCCAGGAGCGGTCGTTGGGAGGAGGCAGAGAGTCCGCAGCTTCCGCGCAGCACAACTGCAGGAGGAGGGAGCCGCCCGCTACAGCCGAATTAAACGGTAGGAGGCATTTTATTCATTTTCCTCTTCTTTTATCTTCAGTCTAGGGCTTTGTCTCTGAGAGTGGTGGTAGAGAGGCAGGCGTTGTGCGATGGCACGCCGCGGCAGGAGCATCTTTCATTGGTTCTGTCGGTGGTGTGGGCACAGAGGCGGTAATGAGCATCCAGAAGCCGGGAAGGAAACGCTGGAGGCGGATAAAGAGACTGTACAGTGCCGGTAAAAATATCAGTGGGTTTTAGTTTTATTTTGTACTGTTTTGAGGTTGAAGGAAATGTGGAGAGTTGTGTGTTGTCTGAGAGGACAGGGCGGCAGACGTCGGGGCAGCCAGAGCCGCAGTCAGCGTGGAGCAGCAGCGAAAAGTTAGTGGCAGTTAACCGGAAACGGGAGAAATGACAACTCAAAATAAAACGGAAAATTGCTGTGCCCATGAGTAGAACTCAAAAATCTATTCTTTTTGAATATCTCATCATTGGCCAAAATAATGAAAGGAAAAACACTAACTTGTTATGGTTTAAAAACACATGTACAAATTGTATATTTCATGGAATAATAAATGACTTATTCATCAGGTTGAATAAAAAATGATTGTATAAAAGAGACATGACATACGTTTTGGTGTTTTATTTTGAAAACAATATCCGGAACTGCTTTAAAATCGGCTTCTTTTTATGAGGTGTAATGGCTAATGTTGGCACGGATTTATAAACGCGTTGAATTCGTGAATAACGTTTCAGTGAACCCTCGCGGTGATTGAGTGACCTGTAAAATGATTTAAAGGATACAAATGAGTCAAAGCTGAATAATTTAAAAATGACCTTCCTGTCCTGTTGCCATGTGGAGGACAGTGGGTTCGATTCCCCTGTGGTTCTGGGGACTGACCCAGAGCACAGCTGCCTCCTCCTCACCGTGAATGTGACACTCTTTAGAACTGCGCGTTCTCAGCAGCGTTCTCACTTCAAACCATTCAAACAAGTCAGGAGCCAAACACGTGTGAATGCCTCGAGGTCCAGTCACAACTGTTGACACTGATGTCCTGTCAGACTGACTAACAGCCTGGTGGACGAGGAAGAGGCGTTGGTTTGGTCTCCATGTTTACTGATCGTATCTTGAGAAAGTACAAATGTGGTCAAGTGTTGGGTCATAAATCAGAGTCAGATGTCGGTCGACTGTTCCTCATTTTTACCATGTTACAGTGAAGTTACAGTAGAGTTACAGTAATACTTGGATGTAGATCCTCTTTCTGAGCAGTGGTGGCCTGGTGGGTTAAGGGAGTGGGAGTGGTCGCAGGTTCGAATCCCCCGACCACCAAGTGCCACAGAGGTGCACTGTGCACAGTGTAGAATGACATGCAACATGTGTCAAACTTAAGGCCCGGGGGCCAAATGTGGACCATCATTTTGTGTGGCCCACAGAAGCTTAAAAAGTATTTAATAAAGTCCATGCAGCAGAGCTTCCGTCAACACACCTGAGACGACAGGTGGATGTGTAAAATAAAAACCATCTTCTGCTTTAGCTCAGAATTTTATGCTTAGCATCAACAAGTTTCTGGTTTCAACAGGTGACACAGGAATGTTCTCGAGGATATTTAGGTCAGTACTGCGTCAGTAGCTGCTATAAACAGATGACGCAGTATCTCTCAGAGTCTACATCCACATTAATCTATAGATCTCTCAATAAACACGTTAACACGACGGCATGATCGCGACTTTCCTTTTCATTTGAACAAACATCCATAATTCAAACCCAATAAGCCTCATAACAATCCGCCGCCTCATCAATGGTTGATGTTTTCTGGGCTAAAGCATTGATCGTCTCCATAATGAAGTGGAACCACTCGTGCTGAGTCATGAACCTGACGTTTATTGCACCACTGTAATAAAACCAACTGCATTATTGAAAACGAGGACTGCAGTTTATGGAGTTTTATCTTTTTTATATGGATTTTAAAAAAAAGTAAGATCTGAGCTGTGAAAGACGGTGTAGAAGAAGAGTCACATGCTGACTTCAGAATATGAGCTCTAATTATCATCATGGTGGCCCATATTTTGCTCTCAGTTCGGTGCTAGGTGTACACATGTGCATGAACATCAGCTCCTGAACATATTTATAGCTGCAAAATCAGATCTGCTGCCAGAAGCATTTTGTTCTTCGTTGGTACACAAGCCTAGAGTGCCCCCTAGTGGCTGTCAGTTTAAGAATAACATAAACATGTGAAATTATATATTTTAATATCTTAGTCGCACCTGAATATAAGCAGCAGACCCAGCCAAAGGATGAAAAAAAATTTGACTTATAGTTCGGAAAGTACGGTAAATAGATACGATAAGTTGACCGTTGGATGCAGAAAAGTCTCCTCACTGAGTCACTCTCGCAAGTTGTTGAGTCGAACTCCTGTGTCCAGAATACTAGCTTCAAGTACACAAAGAAATGTAGAAAAAAGCTGAACAACTGCTGTTAGAGCGGAAGCTAAAAAGAGGAAACGGTGTCATATAGAGATAAAATCAGTCAGTTTATAGCTCTTGATTTCTCTCTCTTTCTTCTGTGGTCTGTAGGTGAACTTTCAGAAGAGGTGTGTGTGTGTAGAACAATTCCTATCTATTTAATCATAGAGTTCTGTGTGTTAGCAACATGTTATGAGTCAGTAAAACAGCACAAACTTTAGAGCTGTGTCTAAAGAAAACCGTGGCCTAACTCTTTTGTTTTTGAGTTTTGGTATCGCCTACAGGAGGACTGTGCAGTAAAACAAAATTCACAACAAAGTTGTTGATAATGGATTAGTTGAAGTGACTGGTCTGAGTTAGCTTGCCGTGTACCATTAGCCAGTTTTTGGAAACTCGATTAACTCGTCACTGCTAACCCTTTTGCTCTTCATACTGTATGTGTTGACGTCATTACTTCATAGATTGACAGAGAAAACAAAGACAGTTTGAGCCTGAAACAGACTCAACTGAGAAGACTGTTACATCATAATTTATTAAAGTCGGGCCTTTCAACAAATATCTGTTCAAACGATGGCTTTTCCATCTTCCTCAGAGAGCAGCGGTGCAGTAAGTGCAGTGAATTATCATTTCCTCCCTGCATCTTTACAGTGTCAGGCTGAAACACAGAGACGTGGTCTGGGATGGAGAGACTGCAGCGTCTTCTTCCTTCTCCTCCGCTGATAAACAGCCACCTCACGGGCGTAAATTATGTTTATACTGTCACTGTTTCCACTGTGTGTGTGTTTGGAGGAGTGCCTCGTCACCATTTTGATCCAAACGTGACAGACGTGACTGATGTCTGTCACGTTCTGAGGAGAAGATACAGTATTTCACCAAATCCTTTGAATTCTTTCACCTCTTCAGGTCTGAGGTCTGAGGTTCGAGGTCTGAAGGCCATAAATCAACAGGTAGAACCAGCTGCACCACTGTTGACATTGAAATGAGGAAGTCCTGTTGTTGACATGACATGATTGCAGTGGATCCAATCACAGCTTCTCTCTGTGTCCCCTATGGTGGGCCTCGCCCCCTACCATGGGAAGCACTGATTTAAAATGTGTTGAGAGACATTTTTTAATTTAATTTTTTTTAAGACTGCTGGAACCAAGTAGTACGCCTTGTTTTCAAAAGTAGAATAAATTGATGAATCCCATTTTGTGGAAAATACATGATACAGCAAGGAAAGTTGCTGTATCATGGTTTTTTTTTTTTACTCCCTCATTGGTTTTCCAGTGTTATGAGACTGTTGCTAATATTTTTTCAGCCTCCTAGCACAGGCATGGTTCAGCTTTTTAATCCGGCACGCCAAGCTTTTTCATATAAATAAATGATAAATTATATAATTTATTTATATTCTCATTATACTTCTGCCTTTTCCCTGCAATACCCACGTTTTCCCAATAGATGGCATAGAAAATGATTAAAGCATTTTAGCATTTTAGCCTTTATGTGTGACTTTTACATGTCATTTATCCCCGTCCCCCTGTTCAATTTTAGGACAATTGTGGCCGCGAGTCAACAAGTTTGCCCACTCCTGTCCTAGCATATAGACAAACAACCATTCACTCTTTGGTTAAATGAAAGTATCCATGCCTTGCAGCATGTTCTTAGACTGTAGACAGACGTGTGTATCCTGATTCCCCTGGGTCATAGAATTACTTCAGTCCTTCAGCGTTTGCCTAGAATTCAGTCACTTCTTTTCCAGGAACGTCCATGTGACTGGAAGGACCAGGTTTCTCTCCGCTCGTCACTCGGCCGTGGCCGTTCTTCTTCATTCCATTCAAAGCTGTCGTACCTGTTCAGAACCAGGTTCCACTTTATTTCGGCGAGTAAGGACACGTCCAACTCCAGATCTGTGTTGGCATCTGAACTGTGTTCCTCAGGGCAGCCTGAGATGTTACCATGTCACTGTCTGGTAAACGGCGCCGGTGTGTTACAGAGCCGAGTGTCGGTGCTGTGCTGTAGGTGGCGTAGCTGCGGGGCTCTGTGTTTCCTATAGGAGTTTTAATGAAGAAGCTGTGTTGCTGCACCTGTGGTTCTCAGGGGAGGAGACCAGGATGGGTCTGAATCAGCATGTGGTGCAGAGGATAAATGAACAGGAGAACGGGGCCACGGCCGTTTCAAGCACCGTATTTACTACAGGAGTGAACTGGAAAGGATAGGAGTGTGAGGTTACATTTGCTGGTTTAGCCAATGATGTGGTGACAATGGAGCGCTTATCTGTGTTACCAGTGAATGAGGGACAATGTTACCACTGAATAGGAAACTAGGACATAGGAGAGATGTTGACATAGGTCAGCT